TGTGTTCTAAGAAGAATGGAATTAATTTTTTTTTTTTTCAGTCACTGGTGGGCCTGGAACTCAGGGCTTGAGCGCTGTCCCAGAGCTATTTTGCTCAAGGCTAGCACTTTGCCACTTTGAGCCACAGCTCCACTACCAGTTTTAATTGGTAATCAGAGTCTCATGGACTTTCCTACTCAAGCTAGCTTTGACCTCCCCGCCTTAACTCTGGGCCTGGGCACTGTCCCTGAACTCTTCAGCTCAAGGCTAGCACTCTACCACTTGAGCCACAGTGCCGCTTCTGACTTTTTCTGCTTATGTGGTGCTAAGGAATTGAACCCAGGGCCCCATGCATTCAAGGCTAGACTCTACCATTGAGCCACCTTCCCAGCCCCCTGGCTTTGAACCCTTATCCCTTGATCTCAGCCTCCTGAGTAACTAGGATTACAAGTATGAGCCACAAGGGCCCAGCTGGATATAGTTCTTCTGAAGATGATTTCAAGCATTTTTAAGATATAATCATGTATGTGTTGTTTGTTTTTAGATATTTTCACCTCCAAGCCATCCAAAAACAATTTATAGCTCCACAAACTTAAAGACATCTTCAAAACTTTCTTCGGGGTCTAAATCTCATGACGTTCAAGAAGTTCTTAAAAAAAAACAGGTAACATTTTCGATTCTTCTACCTTACACAGGAAAGGCAGAATTCTTTTTTTTTTAAATTTTATTTTATTTGTGAACATACTGTACAGAGGGGTTACAATTACATGGGCAAGATAATGAGTATATTTCTTTTCAAGCATTGTAGCCTCCTCCTTTGTTTATCCTTCACATCCCTTCCCAGCCTCCCCCCTCCCCCCCAGTCCCAATCCTTCTCCCCCCTCCCCCCGCACCAACATTGTAAAGCTCGTTTTGAATTCTTAAGTCATTATGTTAAAACCTTTAAATTAGTTAATATCAGGGCTAGAGGTATGGCTTAAGTGGCCTTGCAAGCAGAAAGCCTTGAGTTCAAACCCTAACATAGCCCAATATTATCATGTTGTTATAGAGCTACGTCAAAATGCATATACTTCTTTATTTAATGAACTCTTGAAAAACAAAAAGAGTTGAACAAACAAAAAATGCATAGCTGGGTTTCAGTAGTCACATCAAATTCAAAGAATAATTTTGGTTTTTGTACTGGGTATTTAACCAAGGGCCTTGAGCAGGATAATTCATGCTCTATGACAGAATGATACTCCTGTAGTTTTTTGTTTGTTTTAATGATACTCCTGTAGTTTTTTGTTTGTTTTTTAAATTTTATATCCCCACCCCCATTTGAGTGTGGTATGTGATATGCTGGGGGTCAAACTAGGATCTGGTACAAGCTACATAAGAACCCTACAAGTGAGCCACATCCCTGTTTTTTGTTTTTTTAAAGACAGAGTCTCATTATATAGTTCAGCCTGGTCTCAAACTCAGTCATTCTGCCTCAGCCTCCCAGTGGGATTATAAGTGTATACTCCATCCCTCCCCAGCTGTTGGTCTCAGCTTTTTTTTTTTTTTTTTTTGGTGTCAATATTAGGAGTTAAACTCAAGGCCTCGTGCTTGACTTAGCTTTCTTACTCAAGGCTTGTGTGCAGCCACTTCAGCCATACCTCTACAACCCAGCTAATTATTTTAGTAGGAGGAGAAAAATCTGTCTTAGAAAAAGATGACTCTGGAGGTATGAATTGAGATATAGTTGCATTATTATTATTAGAATATATTAGCATTATTATTGGCAAATTTTGTTGTCTTTCACTGATTGCTTCTTTACTGGTCTATATAGGAAGCCATGAAGCTACAACAAGATATGCGGAAGAAGAAACAGGAAATGTTGGAAAAACAGATAGAATGTCAAAAGGTAAGATATAGGACTCATTATTTACATGTGAGAATTGATGAATATAATTGATTTACAGTTATCCATAATAGTAAAGCATAAGCTTACATTTTACTGATTATTTTGTAGATGCTGATATCCAAGCTAGAAAAAAACAAAAACATGAAACCAGAAGAAAGAGCAAACATAATGAAGACTTTGAAAGAACTTGGAGAAAAGATTTCACAATTGAAAGATGAATTAAAAACATCTTCTGCAGTCTCCACACACTCCAAAGTGAAGACAAAAACAGAGGTACCTATATTTTACACTTAACATAGGGCTATTAGCATCTACATAGGCTTGGTACTATGAAAGTACTGTGAGACCCTTAGATATCTACTAGACTAATGAGTAAAGTAACCTGAAAAGAAGTTACTACTAAGCTATCTCCCTCTCTTTCTCACTCCTGCCCCTCCTTACTGATGAATAAATTCAGAACCTGTGCTTGTTAGGTAGGGGTGCTACCCACTTGAGCTCTTTGGTTCGAGCCTTCTATACCCCCAGTCTAAGATTTCTTTGTGAAAGTGAAGTGTGATGGAACTTGCATGTAATCTTAGTTTCCTAGACCAAAACAAAAATTACTTTTAAAAAACATAATGAGGGCTGGGAAGGTGGCTCAGTGGTAGAGCACTTGCCGTGCATGCATGAGGCCCTGGGTTCAATTCCTCAGTACTACACAATTAGAAAAAGCCAGAAGTGGCGCTGTGGCTCAAGTGGTAGAGCTCTAGCCTTGAGCTGAAGGAAGGAGGCCTATGCCTTAAGTGGTAGTGCTCGTGCTTAGCTTGTTTGCTTGGGTTCAGTATTGCAAAAAATAAGTGAAATAAAAGCCCCCCAAATAATAAAAACATTGTTTTTATTGAGCTTTCTTTCTTGTATTGGAAGAACATGAGTACTTTTTGCTTCCTTTCCTTTATTCCCATCCCCCTTCCTTTTTTTAAGAGATAGGATCTTTCTATGTTATTCTGGCTGATCAAGAATTCTTAGGCTTAGTAATCTTTCTGCCTTAATTTTACAAGTAACAAACACTATAGGTATAAGCCACTGAAATCTTACTATATGTGTATTTTGAAAATTAGAGTATGCCTGGGAGGAAATAGTAAAAACAATCTCTCACAGTTTGGTGGTAGTTGTAGGTTCTAATATGCAAGGAATTCTGTAGCTGTTAGCTTTGTAATATTAATATCTACTCTATAATTTATTTTGCCCATTGTGTTTCATTTAAGCACAGTTATATGAAAAGTATTCTCAGCTCCCTCATTTCAGTGACTCTGTCTTGTTCAGTAATATTACTATTTCCAGTAAGAGCATAATGATCTCTTTGTGTTTACAGTCTTGTGTCTGTAAGGTTACTTTTCTTAAAACATCCATATTTATTGCATCCTTTTACTCAAAAAAGCAAGCTGTGTCCTTGTATACGGTAATGTTCTGAATGAGAACTTGGACGTTATTTTAAAAAACACCTTTTTACTCTTTGTTTCCAAAGGCCCAGAAAGAATTACTAGATACTGAACTGGACCTCCACAAGAGGCTGTCTTCAGGAGAAGACACAACAGAACTAAGGAAGAAACTCAATCAATTACAGGTTGAGGTGAGATTTAACCTGCTATATTTAATATCTCAAAAAACAGTTTTTTCTCTTTCCTGCTTTACAAGGTTTCTATTCCATTCCCTTTTGTTGTTGTTTAGGCAGCAAGATTAGGTATTTTACCTGTGGGTCGAGGAAAGACCATGTCCTCTCAAGGTCGAGGAAGAGGCCGAGGCCGTGGAGCAAGAGGGAGGGGCTCACTAAATCACATGGTGGTGGACCACCGCCCCAAAGCACTAACCGTTGGGGGATTCATTGAAGAGGAAAAGGATGAATTACTTCAGCATTTCTCAGTAAGTTTTCTAAGTAGCGAATACTAACTTGAAAAACATTGTATTCAGCATTTTCTTTGCTACAGTCTGTATAAATATCAAATGATACATAGGTTAGAAAATTTAGTTATGAAAGCATGGATATTGGAAAATTCTTAATGTATTTGAAGGTCAAGAGGTAGGTCTTGCTTTGTAATTCCATAATGTTCCACATAAACACATTTGTAATGATAAGTTGTTCCAAAGCTACCTTTGATTTTTGTTTTAGGATTATTACATGGTTTCCTGGTATTTTTAGTCAGTAAGTAAAAGTAGTCTAGGATAGAGGCAGAATTCAAAGATTTATTACAAGACATTATAGAGGTAGAAGACATTATTTTAGTTATTTAGTTATTCTTTGTATAACATGGCAATTGTTGACTTGTATGCAAATATATAAGTAGAGATTTTCTATAGTCAAATATATTTATAATTTTGAATGGAAACTTGAGTAGATGTGTAAGTTTTGACCCAGAATTCATGCTCAGATTGGTCTCTTTCCTTCTCAAAAGTAGAACCATTTTAAGGGCTTGGAGGTGTGGCTCAAGTGATAGAGGCCTGTCTAGCAAGCACAAAGTTCTGAATTCAATCTTCAGTACTACAAAAAGAAAAAAGTAGAAACATTCTAGAACCTTGAATAGTGTTTAGGTTTTATGGACATTTATTAAGTGTGAAAGGCAGCCCTCACTTGACTGATGGGGTTGTGTCTGGGCAGTTGTAGAAGAAGCAAACAGAGCTAAGGTAGGAGAAAGGACTTCTAAAACAAAAAAGTGCCACTGATTTTGATAACTTTTAGAGTGCTGCCAGGTAATCTAGAGTACTAGAAATATACCCCAATAATAGCTACTTGGGCAGATGGGTATGGTGTTCTTGATAATGCTCAGGCATTGTTGTGGGTAAATTTAGTATTCTGAATGGGAAGCTTCTTAACTTCTTTTGAAAGTCACAAAGTCTAAGGTAAAAATCTGTATTTCTGAAATTCTGCTGTCACTTTTAACATCAATGATTGAAAGGATTCTGTATGAAGAAATGATAGATGGTGTAAGTATAAGGATCTGATTCTGAACTTCAGAGATATGGGTTGGGTTTTTTTTTTTTTTTTTTTGGGTAGTACTGGGGTTTGAACTTAGGGCCTCATTCTTCATGGTTTTTTAGAGTTCTTCAGTTTTTGTTGCCTGGGTTGTTTTTTGTTTATTGTTTTTCCTAGAGCTGAGGATGGAACTCAGGACCTTGTATTTACCAGGCAAGTGCTTTTCCACTGAGTTCAATCCCCAAACCCTCCTTAGAGTTCTTGTATCCAGCAGTCTACTTCGAAGAATTTATCATTAAAGGAGTTTCAGTTGTACCAATACAAATGGTGCCTATAAAGTATTATCACAGCATTATTAGTAGTAAAATGAAAGCTATCTAATTGTCCAAAAGTATTTTGCTGCCATTAAGAACATAGTCTAAAAGAGAAATGGAATATGAAAATTTTTGATTGACTCACTAGGTTGAAATAAAAATGAATACAAAATTATACATAAGTGAAACTGTAGTAAATAGTTCTGGACAACAGAATTCAAGTTCATTTAAAAATTTTTTTCCTGGGCTGGGAAGGTGGCTCAGTGGTAGAGCACTTGCCTTGCATGCTCGAGGCCCTGGGTTCGATTCCTCAGCACCACATAAACAAAAAGCCGGAAGTGGCGCTGTAGCTCTAGTGGTAGAGTGCTAGCCTTGAGCTGAAGAGCTGAGGGACAGCGCCCAGGCCCAGAGTTCAGGCCCCACGACCGGACCCCCCCAAAAAAAATTTTTTTCCCTTCCTATATTCACTTTTAGGATAAACCATTAATATTTTTATACTATATATTTTAAAACCAAAATCCAGGCATATGTTGATTTTATTCTCTTAGAACCAAGATACTATTGAGTATATAGCTTAATGTGTTTGATGTCTAGTACCACCACCAAAAAAAAAAGTTTTAAAAACTTGAACTCAGTGATGTGGGGTAAACCTTGGCTTTTTTTCCTTCTTGATTATGAAAGTAATGCATGCTTTTATTAGATGCCTTTAGCTGCAAGTAACAGATAAGTAAAGATGTAAACTTTTATTTTTATTTACTTATTTTTTTTGGTCATGGGGCTTGAACTCTGGGCCTGGGCGCTGTCCTTCAGCTCTTCAGCTCAAGGCAAGCAAAGCACTCTATGACTTGAGCCACAGCACCATTTCCGGTTTTCTGGTGGTTTATTGTAGATAAGAGTCTCACAGACTTTCCTGCCTGGGCTGGCTTTTGAACCGTGATCCTCAGATCTCAGACTCCTAAATAGCTAGGATTACAGGTGTGAGCCATCGGTGACCAGCTTAAACTTTGATTTTTTTTTAAAGATTTTTGAGGAAGGGAAGTTTTCAAATTGAGTCACTTAAACCACACAAGTTCCTTACATTGTTTCTCTTTTGCCCTTAGTGTGTTGGCTTTTGTTCTCATGCTATAGAGATGTGTGCAGGAATAACAAACACAACAGCTTCTAACAGCAATGTTCAAAGGCAGAAAAGGACAAGTTCCTTTCTTAAGACAATTTTTTTAAAATTTATTTATTTTTTGCCATCCTGGGGCTTGAACTCAGGGCCTGAGCTTTTGTTTAAGGCTAGTGCTCTGCCACTTGAGCCACAGCACCACTTCTGGCTTTTTCTGTTTATGTGGTATTTAGGAATTGAACCCAGTGCTTCATGCATGGTAGGCAAGCACTCCACCACTAGACCACATTCTCAGCCCTCTTAAGCCAGTTTTAAAGAATATTGAAAGGAACTACTCTTACCTGCTCTCGGCCATTCCTACTCAGTGATGTATCTTTAAGTCATATGCTCATTTTTCAACTAATCTTTGTTGAGGAAAACGGAGTTGTTTTGATTGAATTTAACTAATCATAGTTTCTCTCCTTTGGGCTAAGCCTCACCTGTGGTAATTGGTTAGGGATAGATATCAGTACCTCTTACAGAGAAAAACATTTAGATAGATGGTGATTAAGTGAGACCTAGTTCTCTTCAAAGAGTGTGGTGTGTCATGTAGATGATAGGAATCAGTAGCTCAGTGGTAGAGCTCATGCCTAGCAGAGAGGTCCTGAGTTCAAACTCCAATACTGACAAACAAAAACTACCAATTTTTCTTAGTATAAAATTAAAATATTTTTATTTAAAATTAAGTTAGTCCTGAAATGAACAAAACAAGCAGTGAAAGCTTCTATAAGTGGGCTTTGTTGAAAGGCTGGATTAAAGGCAAAGGATGTGTGTTGTACATATCACCTGATGTGGGTAGCAGTTTGGTATGTCCCAAGAGCCAGAATTGTTTTGTACTAGATTGTAAACATTTGCCCCTCACAAGGAATGCTGGAAATCATTTTCTGAGGTCACAGGAAGTTACCTATATAGGCAGTAGTTGATTTGCTATGTAAATGAGTGATACATACTCTTACCCTACAGTGGTCCAGATATTCTTTGGGAACATACAGAAAATATATCATGAGGTTTGTCACTGTTTTCCTGTTCAAACTAGAGTGAAGCCTCAAGAAGGTGGTGAAGCAGTGAAAGGTCAAATTAAAGGAATCGCATCAGTTAGCGTTTTCAGGACTGTCCAGATGGAGTATTCTACGAGAATTTTGTTAGAAAAGCCTTTAGAGATAACTTAAGAATTCAGTGTCCTGATTGTTTTGATGCCTTTTGATTGGTCTATATTGCTTCATCTTTAAAATGAAACTTTTGCCTTCTCTTACAGAAATTTGTTGGGAAGAAAGAAATACTTAGAAAGTAGTACAAAGACAATTTTGAAACAGCACTTTTTATCTTAGGTGTGGATAGTGTATGTCTAATGTTTATTGTTATTGAACTGCATTTCAAAAGAGGAAATGGAATACTTATCAAATATAAGGACAGCTGTAAGAGATATAGTGAAGTGAATTGACCTGAAATGAATTGTTTTTTTTTAATCCACCAATTTTCAGGTCTAATGTGAGTCTTTTTATGTACATATCAAAATGAAAGGTCAACAGTTGAACTTTGTTGACCTCAGCATAATTTATAATAGAGTGAGTATATCACACGTATTAATCAAGATAAATGCTAAAATTTAAACATGAATCATGCATTATTCCAGGCACACCAGAACATATAGCTTTAATTACAAGGGATTTCATGTTTTCTAGACTATACAATCCATTGCTAACAAATTGTATCTCCCTAAATTTTTATACTTTTTTCCCCTGAATCAAAAGATTATACAAGGGGGTTCCAGTTTAACCTACTTGTCTTAGTATCCAGAACTGTACTTACTGGTCAGAGTCAGTACCCCCTTCATCATTCTCCCCAATCATACCTCCCAACAGACTTGTTTCACATTTGCACTTCATCACATATGTCATTATATTTTTTAAAGCACAGAATGTGAATAATAAATTTAACATAATCTAAAATATATCTTAGGCTGCAAACCAAGGGTCAAAATTCAAAGACCGTCGGCTACAAATATCATGGCACAAACCCAAGGTACCATCTATATCCACTGAGACTGAGGAGGAAGAAGTCAAAGAGGAGGTAAATTCAAGAACTCAAGAGTTGAATTGGAACATACCCCATTTTATATTTTTCTTAACCTGAAATTGTATACGTTTTAAGTAATACCGTGTTTTCTTGCATGCATACAGTTAATAATCAGCCTCTTAAATTTTGCTTTTTAATTTTGTGTTTATTACCAGTTTATTAAAGTGAAAATTATTTCTGATTGCATAATCTTAGTTTTAAAGATAGCAAGCATTTATAGTTTTGACTGTGTACTTTTATATAACATAAAACAGGAAGTGTTCCCTAAATAAAGAGAAAGAAAAAAAGCTAGTCATAGTGCCAGTAGTCCCAGTTACTGAGAAGACAGAAATTAGGAGGATTATATTTCCAGGTCACCTTGGGAAAAAATTATTAGCTTTTATCTGAAAACAAAAACAACCACAAAAAGCAAAAGGACTGGAAGAATTGCTCAAGTGTGGTAGCCCTGATGAATTCACTCTGAAGAATCACAAAAAAGAAAAAACAACACATTTTGATAATATTTGTAGATACTTTGCTGTGGATGAGTTTGTTTGTTTTTTTTTTTTAAAATGCCATCCTGGGGCTTGGTGCCTAGGTGCTGTTCCTGAGCTTTTGTGCTCAAGGCTAGTGCTCTATCACTGAACCACTTTTCTGCTTCCCGCTTTCTTGATAGTTTAAATGGAGATAAGAGTCTTACAGACTTTTCTGCCCAGGCTGGCTTTGAATTGCAATATTCAGATCTTAGATTCCTGAATAGATTACAGGTGTAAGTCACCAGTGCTTGGTTATGCCTTAGATTTTCATATAACATTTGGAATAACAAATGTTGTAATGGTATAATAGAGAAGTTATATATTTTCTCCTAAAAAATAATTGGATTTTACATTTATGTTTCTTATTTTTAAGTAAATGGAATAAACCTCAATCTTAGTTTTTATTAGAGATGCTTCTTATAAGTATTTTTTCCTATAATTTCTCATATCCAGCCTGTATTTACTTTATGCTTCTGATGATGTTATATAAACAAAAGATAAGAATTTATATCCATTTAAAAAATGTTATTTAGGAATAGGAAGAGATTGGTTAACAAGTACAAAACCATACCAGACAAGAAGAATAATTCTATTCTGTTGTACAGAGAATGGGTATTGTTAGCAGTATTGTATAATTTAAAATAGCTAGAGGAAAGGAGTGTTTTGTATGATGAATATTTTCATCACACAAAAATTAAAATCTTTTGTATATGTATATGTGTGTGTGTGTATATATATATACACTTAGTTGATTAATCTATAATGTTTAAATATATCAGACTACCACATTGTACTCCATAAAGATGTGCCATTATTATTTGTTAAAGAAATTAATTTTTTGTCTGTTGTTTTGGCCCTAAAAGAAACTACTCAGAATGTATCACTAGTAAATCTAGTCGGTCTTAGTTTGTTTCTCCTAATGTTCATGTGCCTTCATTTCTTCAGGAAACAGAAACCTCAGATTTGTTCTTGCATGATGATGACGATGAAGATGAAGATGAATATGAGTCTCGTTCATGGCGAAGATGAAATCTGATGCGAGCTGTATAATTTTTAGGAATATTGTTTAGAAGAACAACTTTTTAAAATTATTTAAAGAAGTCAATGAGCCAAAAAAATTTTATTTTTCTTTTCAACACAATAGGTTTAAGGACAGCAACTTTGCTATTTAAACACATCTCATAATTGTACATGATATTAAAGCACCAAAGGCCTAGTGACTCTTACACAGTTGTGAAGACCCACAGGAATGACATGGATCTAGAGCCTTACTTTCCACACCTCCTGTTTTTGTTGCTGTTGGTGTTGGATTATGATGTAAATGACAGGGTGTTCAGAAATCTTATTTTTATTATAATCTGCTGATAAAATTTCATTAAATGTCAAAATCGCCTGGAATCTCTTAACTCACCTATTATGAATGGGTCGTCAGACAGGAGATATTTGTAATTAAAAAACCCTTTGCTTTCAAGAGTTGTTTTGGAAGAGAAGTAAATTTAATTTTTTTTTAAATGGTAGAGTCTAATTTGTATTCAACATCAAGTTGTTTTCAGAGTTTTTCTGTGTAGTAGTTTGCCAGTGGAAATCCCAGCTAACTGTGTCCATCTGTGCTGCAGGATGTGTTGCCCGCCCCTCACCATGCTCACTGCTGACTTTGCTGCCTCCCACCCTTTGCTTTTTAACTTCAAAATGTAAAAGGCTTATACCTATTGCCTCCTTTAATCCCCCACTTTTCTTCCTCATCCCTTTTTATTAATAGGCCTAATTTATAGAGATAAGTGCTTCTATTGGGCTTCTATTGAGTCAGACCTCAATAAGGTTTATACTAGCACTTCAATAAATAATAAATGTTTTGATGAGAATAAAGGAAGGATTTTTAGGGGAAAAAATTGCCAGCTTTTTTTCTTTTAAAGCTTCAGTTTAGTTATAGTTACACAAAAGGATTAAAAAGTGTCTAAAATTCTGATTAAATTTAAACCATGTTGGTGAGGTACCTGGAGGGAGGGGATGGGGAGGATACTGGGTGTGCTAGTAATAAGTGGAGTCCTAACTAGACATTGGTCAGATGATCTTACATTTTCCTAATTTTGTAGCTTGTTACTTTCCACAAACATACGCATACTTCAGTAGGCAGTTTCCTTTACTGTGTGCATTTTTACTGTACACTGTATAGAGTATCTGTTAAGTAAAATATATATGTAAATTTATGTCCTTGTATTCCAAATGTTAGATGGAAAAGCAGAGGAGCAACACTTCATTTTTCTGGCCCCTGGGGAAATAAAATGATTAATGTACATAGGATGTCACTTTTTCAAAGATATCTACATCTGTGTTTTTAATGTGTGTGGTAATATAAAAATTTGAAACTTCCTGTTGGCTTCAGTGTTCTTGGTGATCAGTATAGCAAGAATTTTGTTTCCTGAGGTAGACTTTCTCAAAATAGAAACTATTCACTAAGAAACTTAAAACCATCAGGACTGTAGATTGACTTAGTAGCAAGAAGTTAAATCCCATATTCTGTTCATCCTTTTCCCTTCTACATGTTGTCATTTTTAAGTTCATGTACTTCTCCTTTCATAATAAGGGCCTGCTTCTAAGTTACTGTGTTTCTGATCGCACTGAAGCTAAAATAAGCTCAGATGAAGAATGGGGAACCTACAGTAAGCAATCTTGCTCCTTAGTCCTCCATCAACTCTAATGAAATTTTCCTAATGTCTGTGGCTCAGTCAGTATATATTTTGAAAGATTCATTGTGGTGAATATTTTGAGTCCTAACAGTTTAAGCGTGATAGAGGGAACAAAGGATTTATATATTTTTTGTACAAAGTTTTTTCTTAAACTGTATAATTTTGTAAATAATTTGTTTGGGTTTTTTTTTTCTTTTGTGTACTAAAACTACCAGCGTATATAGATTTCAATAAGAATTGTTGTATTTTTGTATTTGGGAACTGAGAATTACAGTAAATTAATGGAGCTGTAAGAAAATTTTCGGTAGACAGTTGACAGAATGAAATTCCTTTTCATATGATTTTTTAACCTCAAAATTAATATTACATTGACTATAGAGAGAGTTGAGGATTTGTTTGACTCTTTAGTTATTGGGGACAGGGAATGAAAGAGAAAGGTACAGAAAGGAAGAACAGATAGGTTTTTGTTTGTTTTTTAATTAAGGTTTACAGTCCTTTGTATAAAATGGATTTTCAGTATACTTAGGTAAAACTAAAATACTTTTAAATGTCCTTCCTACGAATCCTAAAACATGTTTGACTCTTGAAAATGAATTAAAAGTATGGATTAATTAATTATAAAATCCCAAGTTAGTATAGATTGTATATACATACACATTGACCCCCATCCCTCCCCACCTTAGGATTATTTTTCCCCTACCAGTCCCCACCTGTTAGGTTTCTCTTAAAAGTGAATAGCTACCATGACTTGTTTTCTTCATGTCTTTATTTACAGAAGTAATTTACAGCATCAGAGGCAAATTCTGCTGTTCTTAATGTGTATGATACCTTTTACAAGTAGCTGATCAGCAACAACAGCCACCAATCTGGCTAGGTCAGTCTGATTTATTAGAGTTCTACCCGAGCCTACAAACGTAACCCCAAGGAATGGAAACTTCCCTCAATTTCTTCATGGAACATTGAGAAAATATTGTCACCAGCTAAGAGGAAACAATTGGAAAGAAGTCTTGTTACGATTGAAAAAGGCCCATGGTGATGGATCATTATTTCAAAAAGAAAAAAATCATGTGAAAAGGAATAGTGGTTCCTCTTGATGTATAGTATGCCTGTATTATAGTTTTTACAAAATTGTGAACTTGTGTAATAGTATAATAGGAGATATTGTTGAATTTCTAACTGTTTATACATTTAAATTCATATATGTAATGTTTGTTTTATCAATTACAATCTGAATTTCTAAGAAGCATGTTGACTTTTGCAATAAAGATGCAATATGGAATGGTTCACAGTTGGGGAAAAAAGAAAAGAAAAAAGATGAAAGTATTAAAATTAAAAAAAATTTGGAAAACTTATGAACCATTCCAAAAATTATAACAATCACCAAAAGAGCTGTAATTCTGGCTTGTTCTGGAAAGAAAGAAAATTGTGTGTGTGTGTGTACATGCATGTGCTTGTGAGTGAATAGTAGGTTGGGCTGTATGTTTTATGTTGGGCTCATGGACATATGAATGCTCCTCTATATGAAGTTCAAAGCCACTGGTTGTAAATACCCAGTAGAATTGATCTCAGGGGTCTGGACAATGAAAGAGAAGGTTATTAGGGACACAGGACCTCAAGTGCTGAGAATTAAAGAGCGGTCTGGGGTACAAGGAGAAAACCCTGGAAAAAGATTCCTGTAAGTAAATATAGACACTTAAAAAAGATGAGTAGATAATACCAAATAAAAAGAACAACTTTATGAAAACATTCTCAGGATACCATGAGAATATTCAACAGCAGTAAGGACATTTTCCTTAAGTAGAATCGAAAAAAAAAAAAGGAAGAGATGACATAACAGAAACATGAGTTCTAGATGTTATGAAGGGTTGTAAGGAGAAACAGGAGAAGGCAGAGATCTTCACACCAAGAACTGGGTGGTAATAGGAAAGGAAAGGGAAGTATATCACCTAAGCTCCTGTTGCTATAAAAACTTTTTCCCCCCATATACTGGTGGTAGTACTGGGTAGTTTTGAACCCAGGATTTTGAGTTTGCTAGGCAAGTTCTCTACCGCTTGAATCTTGCCCCTGATATCCCCCGCCCCCCGCTTTTTTTGCCTTTTCCATGACATGTATAGAGATTATAGTTGTTCATGCTTGGCTTATCTGTTGAGGTGGGGGTCTGGCTAACCTTTTGTCCAGACTGGCCTCTAATCATGAAACTTGATGTTTGCTATAACTGGCCTACATAAATACTTCAAGTGCTTATACATTATCTAAGAAGGACCATTAAGTTTCAGCTTACCTAAGAAAATACTAAAGTAAATTCTACTTTTTGTTGTTATTTTGTTTATGTGGTACTGAGGAGTTGTTCCAGGGCCTGACTCATGCTAGGCAAACATTCTACAACTAAACCACATTCCCAGCCCCAAACAGCTTTTTTCAAGTAAATTTTATTCATATTGTATATAGTATGTAAATGGAAAACTATTTGAATAAATCGTAGATATCTTTAAATCTTACCTCTGGGACTTTTGGAGGGAGCAGGCATTCTGAACATAATGGTATTAAGAGCAATTTCATAAACAGAAACAATGGTGAAACGATTTCCACCGCTACTCTTGGAAAAGAACTGAGTAAAAAATAGCTGTGAAATGTAGGACTTAATGGATCAGCCAGGCACTGGTAGCTCACATTTGTAAATCCTAGATAGGAAGCTGAGATTTAAGGAACTTAGTTCAAAGCCAGACTGAGGCTTATCTCCAATTAACAAGCAAAAAGCTGGAAATGGAGATGTGGCTCAGCTGGGCACTGGTGGCTTTCACCTGTAACCCTAACTACTCAGGAGGTTGAGATCAAGGATCACTATAAAAAACCAAAAACACAAAAACCCCTCCAATCAAGCACTGAAACAAGTGGAACTGTGGCTCAAGTAGTAGAGCAGTCACTTGAGTAGAAAGTTCCGGAACAGCTCCTAGGCCCTAAAAATTAAGTTCAATGTTTTGCTAAACTGGAACTCAGATGAACAGAAAAGACCATTTGTGTGTGTGTGTGTGTGTGTGTGTGTAACCGATGTGCTAAAGCCAAGGGTAAATTAAATGAGTTTCCGGATCACAGGATTTAGTGAACAGCTGTTTTAGACCAAATGAGACCAACACTAGCTCACAGGGCAAACCTCGTTTTGTAGGCTTTTTTTTTTTTTAATCACAAAGATATACTTAAGGAGCCAGTCATGATGGACTCATCAAAGCTAATATTGGCACTGCATGTATTATAAATTACCTTCATTTCTGCTAAAAGGGATCTTCTTCCAACAAGATTCCCTACCATTTGTCCTCATACCTTTCTGTAATCAACCTTGGGTTAATGAAACCATCCAGCATTCTGAGATAGGTGATTAGATACAGGTGAAATGAAGGTCAGAATAGTGTTTGATAAATGCTCTCAAGATTTTTTTTTGGTAGTGGTGGTGGTTGTAGTCAATAAGTATGGCAAATACAGCTGTTACGTTTTTGGCCGTGTTAAATTTTCTCCTTTTGTGACAGGAGCATGAGAAGGACGGTCTGTTAGCTGTTTTAGATGAAAAGATTTCATCAGTGTACTTGATTTTATTGTTGTTATTGTTGCTGGTTGTGGGGTTTGCCTGCCGCTGTGAACCACAACCCCGCTTCTGGTTTTCTGGTGGTTAATTGGAGTAAGAGTTCCATGGACTTCCTCGCCCCTGCTGGCTTTGAATCACAATCAGATCTCAGCCTCCTCAGTAGCTAGGATTACAAGCATGAGCCACCAGCACCTGGCTTATTTGATTTTTTTTTTTTTAACAAGTACTGGGGTTTTAATTGTGGC